AAGCGCGCCGATCCTCGTCGGACCAATCTTGCGCACAACATCGGGGCATGTTGTACTTGCGCGCGTGCCATCCCAGCCTGGCCAGTTTGGCCTCCGTGCCAATCTTGGGACCCCATGGCCCAGGCCAGCCACACTCGGCGTTGGTGCACAGCCGGGCGCGATTTGTATTAAGTCGGGCCTGTCCCTCTACAGGAGGAATATTCAAAAATAGCGAAACAATAGCCTGGGGACGACTGGTTGACTATGTTTGATCATTGTTGAATAGTTTAGAATATTTATATATGTCCTGTAGGGGGACATGCCCGACCTAAGATTAGTAGGTCGACCCTGCACAATCATGCGTGCTCTTCTGTCCAGTTTCTGCAGACCCATGGCTCCTACATTCCCATGGCAACGTAGCCTTCCGATGGGTTTTATGTCCTCTCGCGTGCCATCGCCAATCAAACTCGGCGGCGTGCCTTCCTGCGAGGCCCCCCCATCCTGCCCTCATCTCTTGGGCGACGAGGGCGAGTTTTGCATCCACCGCGACCCTGGCCAGGCCCGCCTGGGTCAGAGGATCGGCGCGCATGCATCCCGGATCCTGCGGCCCAAGACTCGGCCGGCCCAGATCGGTGCTGGTGCGCACAGGAGCGGCTCGAAATATACGGGACAGATTGCGCGGGCATTTGCGCGTGGGTTGCCCGCGGAAGGTCACGCGTAAGTGAGCGACATCGTCTCCAGTGTCGTGTGCCGCGCAGGTGACCCGCGTCAGCCACCGCGTGAGGGCGCCATGCCGCATCGCGTGAGGCCCGATTCCTTCCGTCGCTCACGCGGCGTATTCCGACCTGCCCCATCCCTCCTCCCGCCCTCATCTTGCCGTCATCCCCCCTCCTCCCTCCTCCCCGCTCCTGCCCTCCCCCCCCCCCTGGGTGGGGGCAGTGTGCGGCGGGCGGCCTCGCGTGTCCGGATCCCGCGCCCGCGGCCCAGCGGATGCAGGGGGGGGGGGGCGCCTTTGCGCGGATGCCCCGTGCGGAGCGCATCCATGGGCTCGCGCCTCGGGGTCCCACACCGCGAGGGCATGGGCAACGATTGAAATGTTCGATGAGATTCGCTCGACGTTCGTCGTGGCGCCCCGGATCGATTTCGGGCGGACCCTGGGCCCGAAAACATGGGGAGCGGCCTTGCACCGCCCCCCTCGGGGTACGTAGGCGAGGCGAGGATTATTGTTCTTGCTCCGTTGCCCTTTTGTACTCGTCCCGCCCGCGACCACCCGCGATCCAACTTGCGATCCACCCAACCTGTCGTGACGAAAACAGTCAGCCCTTGCGGAAAGCAATGTATGAACAAATTGTGAGGAACGTGGTGTGTACTGTGGTGTTTTGTACTGTGTTCACAGTTTCGTGTTTCGTGAGAAGTCCTGCAGTTCAATGGCGACGGTGTGCAATGTGGCAGAAGTCGGCGCCCGCGGCGAGGCCTCGCAGACTGCCAGCGACTCCCCACTCTCGTGTGCAGCTGCAGGGGCCACCCAGATCCCCGGCGTCGAGATTTTTTTTCGCAGCGCGGACCCCCAGAGCCAGACCCTCTCTCGAGGACTGCTTTTCCACTTGGCATCGCTCGGACGTGTTTTTTTCCTCGGCGAGGACCATCGAGGAGCATCCCTGATCATTTGGCGAACAACCACGCACGAAACCAAAAAAAAAAACACAGGAAATGGACGTCCGAGCGATGGCCAGTCCACCCCGAGCTGTTTCTTTTACAGCCCTCGGGCCTGTCGAGGGCCCCCAGTGGCCGGAAGAGGCCCCAGTCCTCCCGTCGTGGTTGTTCCCACCGTCGTTCTGAATCCGCAGCGCCGCGCGTCTCCTCTTCCCTTTGCTTCTCCGCCCCCGCCTCCTCCCTCCGCTTCCTCATCAGCATCGTCTTCCCTCGTCGCATGTCGGCACGCCCCTCACATGCTGCGTGGCCCACTGGGGAGCTCCACCGAATGCCCCAGCGGTCGCGTCCGCATGCGGCCTCGCCCTGTTTGCTCGGCAGAGCCCTCACACCTTGCGTGGCCCCATACGGTTAAGTCGGGCCTGTCCCTCTACAGGAGGAATATTCCAAAATAGTCAAAAATAGTTTGGGGACGATTTTTTGTTATTTTGTTTAACGATGTGGGGGTATTGATTCAGTAATTTTTCGCCCCAAATCCGCCTGTTGGGTGACATGCCCGACCTAACCACACGGGCGGAGCTCCACCCGAGGCCCCTCTGGCTGCGCCCGCGCGGTGCCTCGGGTGCCCTCTCGGCACGTCCCCCGCACCTCCTCGTGGCCCCACGGGGAGCTCCACCCCCAATCAGCGAGCGAAGAACGGTATAACATAAACTTTTTCGCCGTCGGGGACACTTGCCCCTGGGCGGCTGGAACGTTTCTACCCCTACGGTGCCACCGTAAGGGTATAAACTTTCTAGCCGCCCTGGGGCAGGTGTCCCCGACGGCGAAAAAGATGATTTTATATCGTTCTTCGCCCGTTAACCCAAGGCCCCCGTGGGGATGGGGAGGGGGGGCGCCCGCATCGTGCTTCGGGTGCACTTCGGCACGCCCCCCACACCGACTTGGCATCGCTCGGACGTGTGCATTTTTGCTCGGCGAGAAGCGAGAACCATCGAGGACCATCCTGGACCCTCGAGCAAAAAAAGCGCGCACGAAACCGACAAAGGCACGGGAGATGGACGTCCGAGCGACGGCCAGCCGTGGCACAACGTGCACACTGGTTGGGTTCGGTATGGGTATGCGTGCAGAGGATGCGCGCGAGGGCGGGGTGGGGCGGGATGGGGCGGCGGGCAGCGGAGCGGAGGCCACCTGCGCGCCCCCCATGTCCACGGCGTCGCTGTGCCCGGAGCTGGACGTCGACCTGCTCGAGCGGGAGATGTTCGCCATCATGGCCAACAACAGCGCGCTCGAGGCGGCGGGGGAAGCCGCCGGGCCGTGAGAGAGTCCTGGCGTCGCCTGTCTGCCCATGGCGGGCGGTGCTCTCCTGTTGTGAGCCCGGGGCCCTCGCAGGTCGCCGAGGCTCGAGCACTGCAGCAGAAGGAGGAGTCCCAGGGTTCCGATGGAGTTGGTGTACGATGTTGCAAGTTTGTCGCGACGCCAGATCTCGGGGGACGGCGGGAGTACGCGGCGAGGGCAGAATCAGAGAGAGAGAACGAGAGATGGCAGGAGCGCCCGCGACGGCGTCGGCGGCGGCGGCACGCTGTGCATTCCGCAAGCTGGGCGGGGCCTGGACCGAGATGAAGCGCTCCAGGGCGTTCCAGAATTCGCTCAGAACCCGCTGCGACACCCGATCAGAACCGTCGGATCTCATAATTCGTTTTGTCGGGGGCGTCCACTTGCAAGAGGTGGGTGAGATGATCAGGGGGTGGGGGATAGCATGGCCAGGGCCATGGTATTCTCAGGAAGTCGTGGCCCCTCTTCTTCCTCTTCTCTTTCTCCTCCTTCTTCTCCTCCTTCTTCTTCTTCTTCTTCTTCTTCTTCTTCTTTTTCAATGCGTTCCCTGACCCCCCCCCCCGCCGGGTCCGCGCACATGCCTCGGGCCGCGATCTGCGACCCCCCCTCTCCGGGACGCCCCCCCCTCGGACGCCCCCCTCCTCGGACCCCTCCCCCCCCTCTCCTGGAGCCCCCCCCCCCGCGACGGGGGTTGCGCCTCGCCTCCGTGGGCGCACCGTGCTGCGCGGCCAGCTCCGGGGCGGCCTCCGCGCTGCGCCCCCCCCCCCCCCGCGCGCGCGCTCCCGTGCGCGGGGAGGGGGGGGCGGAGTCCGCTGCGCGGGGGGGGCGAGCTCCGGAGCCGCTCGGCGGAGGCGGCGCCCCCTCCCAGGGCGCGAGCGCTCTCGTGCACGGCGGGATCTTCTGCGGTGGCGTCCGGGCGGTGGCAATCTGGCGCGAGCGCCTCCTCCTCCATCTCCTCCTCCTCTTCCTCCGCCTCCTCCTCCTCCTCGTCCTCCTCGCCCCCGCCCTCCTCCACCTCCTCCTCCTCCTCCTCCTCGTCCCCGCCCTCCTCCTCCTCCTCCTCCTCCTCCTCCTCCTCGTCCCCGCCCTCCTCCTCCTCCTCCTCCTCCTCCTCCTCCTCCTCCTCCTCGTCTTCCACCTACTACTAATGGCGGTCGAGATGTTTGTCTCCTCCTCCTCCTCCTCCTCCTCCTCCTCCTCCTCCTCCTCTATTGCCTCCCTCCTCCCGCCCTCCTTCTCCCTCGCGTGTTCTGGGGTTTGGCCAGCGGAGACCCTCCACTGGCCAAACCTAAGAACATTGGAGGGTACCTTCCCCCAGGATGCACACGACCATCCGACAAGCACCAAGATCGTTAGGGCACCCTCACCGAATCGACCTCGACCTTATACCTCGGTTCGACCGTGCCACAGACTTGATGCTATCGTCGAGTCTACGACAACAAATACGCAGAAGACCACGCAGATCTACGGGGCATTCTGCGCATCTGTCTCGTAGATTTGACGAGGACATCAATTTTGGGATACGGTAGGTTCGCGTGGTGTCGACCAGCGGCGACACCGCCGCCGGCGTTCAACGTTGAACGCCGGCGGCGGCCAAGAATCGGTCGATGTTGAACGATCTGACTCTTCGGAAACGGCCGATCGTTCCAGGTGGAACGATCCCCGCGGCTCTTCAGGCACTCACGCCAGAGTCGGCCCGGCACGAGCCTGCCGTGAAGGATCAATTCTGTGGTCGACCTCCTCCGGGGCAGGTCCTCCCCTCGCGTCGGGGCAACAAATCACGAGCGGCGGGAGGGCTTTTTGGTGGCCCTGGGGGCCCCCGGGGGGGCGCCCTGCCGCGCCGCGGGGCCGTCGGCACGAACGGCTCGGGGTGCGAAGCCGGTCCCCGGGGAAGAGGCCCAGGACTCGGCGTGAGAAGCGGGCGCCCCGGGGGAGAGGGCCCACAGATCGGGGCACCTCTGCAGCAACCTCCAGAAGGGTAGCTATGGGAGGCGCCCACGAGTTTCACCACCACCCACCAAACCACACCAACCCAGCCGCGCCCCACACAGGACCTGCGCCGAGTTCGGCCTCCGACGCGCGGGGCCGCCACCGATCTGCACGGCCTCTGAGCCATCGGCGCGCGCCCGCGCCGCGCGAGCCCACCGCGGCATGGGGCCGTCGTCGTCGTCGTCGTCGTCGTCGTCGTCGTCGTCGTCGTCGTCGTCGTCATCGTCGTCGTCGTCGTCGTCGTCGTCGTCGTCGTCGTCGTTGTGGTCGTCGTCGTCATCGTCGTCGTCGTCGTCGTCGGCGGCGGCGGCGGCGGCGGCGGCCGGGCGAGCGGTGGCGCCCGAGAGAGGCGACGCTGGCGCTCGGGCAGCGGGCCGACGACGGCGCCGGGCGCGCCGGCTCCCCGGAGTCGGGCGGCACAGGCGCGGCGGGCCCGGTGGGCGCGTGCTCCAGCGAGGAGCTCCTCCTCCTCCTCCTCCTCCTCCTCTTCCCTCCTCCCTCCTCCTTCATCATCCCCTCTCCTCCTCCCTCATCCTCCTCCTCCTTCCGCCTCATCCTCCTCCCCCTACTTCCCTACTCCATCCTTCCTCACTTCCCTCATCATCCTCCTCCTCCGCCTCACCTCATCCTCCTACTCCTACTCTCCTCCTTAATCCTCTCACCCTTCACCTCCTACATACCCTCTCCTAGCCCTCTCCTACTCCGCATTCTACTCATCCTCCTCCTCCTCCTCTCTCCTCCTCCAGTCCTCCTCTACCCCTCTCCTCCTCTTCCCTCCTCCCTCCTCCTCCTCCTCTTCACTCCTCGGGCGGGGCTCGGGCGGCACCGCCGCGCGGCTGCGGCGCTGCCTCGTGGGGGGCCCCCTCGGGTTTGGACGCCCGACATGGGCACGTAGAGAATGGTTACGATGCCCAACAGCAGTTCCTGTTCATTTTGGACAGGATTCGCTGTCCGCGCCGCCGCGGCCTGTGTCCATCTGAGACAGGAGGCCGCCTGCCCAACAGCGGCCGCTGTTGGTTCGGGACAACATTTGTTGTTGGGCATTGTGCCCATTCTTTCCATACCCATTTCGGGCGTCCAAATCGGGTGCCTCCCGCGGTCCCAGGCCCCCTATCGGGTCATGGAGGCAGCACGGCGGAGGGTGTGTCGCTATGTTTTCAGCCTTTGGCAGCCCTCGCCGGGACTCGGGGCCGTCAAAGAAAGACTCGGGATGAGACAGTGGTCCCGGGGAATGGGTCCAGACCTGAGGGTCGAGGTCATGCAACAAATCATGACGTCGGGGGTCTGCTTGGCATCGCTCGGACGTGTGCATTTTTCCTTCGGCGAGGACCATCGAGGAGCATCCTCGATCATTTCGCGAAAAAACCACGCACGAAACCGAAAAAAGCACAGGGAGTGGACGTCCGAGCGATGGCCAGTCTGGGTTGGCCCTGTCGACTGACGGCGGCCCGACGTCCGCCGCCCGAACAGGTCCCCACCGGCCGCTTGAGAGAGCCGTGCCCTGACAGTTTCGAGGAGTGGCCGGGCTCATTTCGACTCCGACTCGATTCGATGTGATTTCGATGGGTTCCAATTCCGAATCGATTCGGCCTCGGGTTCTGGTCTGGATTCTGGTTTCGCGATGGGGGCCGGACGAGCTTGCCGAGTCCCGCCGAGTCGATGTTTCCCGACTTGGCTGCCGATTCCGCCGATGCGATCATGATGTTCCAACCTATTTTCGCCTGGACCACCAGAAAGAATTTCGAGCGCCATGAACGTAACGAAACTGGAGGGTTTTCTTGTGTCGGGCCCTGGGAGGCGACGCTCGCTCCACACTTCGCCAGCGTGCCGGGCAGGCACAGACTGCTCTGATGCTTCTCGGGGTGCCCGAGAGGACTTCTGGGGTGCGGTCCTCAGGTGCGACGGGAGCAGGACAACGATACGAGGCAGTTCGGTCGCCGAGCCGGCAGTCGATTCGATGCTGGGCGCTCCTGGCAGCGGGCGAGGGGCGGAAGCTGCTCGGGTCCAGGCCCGAGGCTCGAAGGCTGCCGAGGTTGGTCTCTGGTCTCGGGGAGAGGCCTCGATCGCCGCCGCGCGGCCGGATCCATCTCGAGGTGCTGGCCAGAGCGCAGGGGGCAGGTCCCCAGACTCCTTTTGAGTCCTGGAAAAAGCATGTCGGGGGAGGGACAGAACCCCCAACAGTGACACGTCGATTCGTGAATTGTCCGTTTTCGGTTCTCGAGAGGGCGCCGTGGCCGTTCTTCTCCAGGCTTGCGCCCGCCAGAATTGGGCCTCAGGTCGTTTTCACTAAACCACGTTTTACTAAAGGGGGGTCTGTCCATCCCCGACAGACCCCTTCGAGTCCTGAAGAAAGCATGGGCGGGGGGTGGCTCGGCCTCGGGAGGCCCTCGTGGGGCCCCGGGGCCGTCAGCCAAAAGGCTCGGGATGAGAAACCGGTCCCGGGGAGTGGGTCGAGACCTAGGAGGAGGAGGAGGAGGAGGAGGAGGAGGAGGAGGAGGAGTGGGTACGGAAAGAATGGGTACAATGCCCAACAGCAGTTCATGTTCATTTTGAACAGGACTCGATATCCGCGCCGCCGCGGCCAGTGTCCATGTGAGGCAGAAGGCCGCCTGCCCAACAGCGGCCGCTTTAGATTTGGAACAACATTTGTTGTTGGGCATTGTACCTATTTTTTCCGTACCCCTTTCTGGCGTCCAAATGGGGGTCGACGTCATGGACAAATCATGACGTCGGGGGTCTGGGTCCCGGGACCGGCTTTGGCACCCCACCTCTCAGGGGCCGCCTTACCTCGAAGAAGAAGAAGAAGACAACAAAACATAAACATCAACTTGTGGCGCTCCGCGCGGACTTCTTGGATTCGCGCCTGGGCCCCGCGGCGGCGCTTCCGGCGCCGCCCCTGGCGCGCTCCGCGCGCCAGGGAGGGGGGTCCAGCGCAGACCCAAGAATTTCGCGCGGAGCGCCAAAAGTTTATGTTTAGGCGGTGTTTTCTTCTTCTGCTACCTACCCCTGTCGAACCATCCCCTTCCGTGACGTCCCCCTCGCCTCGCCCCAGGACGCACGTAGAATTATGCGGCTGGAGGGGAGCACGCAGGGCCAGGACGATGTCACGGGAGGGGGTGGCTTGCGAGGGGTTAATAAGTCATCCCTGTCCCTCTACAGGGGGAATTATCAAAGATAGTTCCAAAATAATCAGGGGACGATTTAAACAAAACATTGTTGGACATCTGGGTGCATTTTTTGTTTATTTCCCAACCATCCTGTGGTGTTGGGTCCTCGTTTTGAAGTGACAGCGCCCCGCGTTCCTTCCTCCCTTCCTTCCTTCCTCTCCTCCTCCTCCCCCCTCCTCCCCACCCCCCCTCATCCTTCCTCCCCCTCCTTGCTTCTGCTCTCCGCATCCTCCCCCATCCCTACTCCTATCCTTGCCTCTGCCCTCGGCGCTTCCTCGTTGTCATAATCAATCTCATCATCGCCATCATCACCATCATCATGATCACCACCACCATCATCATCATCAGCATCATCATCACCATCATCCTCCTCCTCCTCCTCATCATCATCATCATCCGCATCATCATCATCATCATCATCATCAGCAGCAGCAGCAGCAGCATCATCATCGTCATCATCAGCATCATCATCATCATCATCATCATCATCATCATCATCATCATCATCATCATCATCATCATCATCGACGTCATCACCACCACCATCGTCAACCTTATCACCATCATCATGCAAGGGGGCGGCGGTGTTCGCATGCGATTCCCTCACTCAGGGCAGCGTTTCGTGGCCCCAGAGAGAGCACCACCGAAGGCCCCAGTGGGATTGCCCGCATGCGATTCCCCAACCCAGGGCAGCGCTTCGTGGCCCCATGGGGAGCTCCACCGAAGGCCCCAGTGGGGGTGCCCGCATGAGGTTCCCCCACCCAGGGCAGTGCTTCGTAGCCCCATAGGGAGCTCCACCGAAGGCCCCAGTGGGGGTGCCCTCATGCGGTTCCCCCACCAAGGCCAGGCTTCGTGGCCCCATAGTGAGCTCCACCGAAGGCCCGGGGGATGCCCGCATGCGGTTCCCCCAGCCAGGGCAGCGTTTCGTAGCCACATAGGGAGCTCCACCGAAGGCCCCAGTGGGGGTGCCCGCATGCGGTTCCCCCACCAAGGGCAGCGTTTCGTGGCCCCATAGGGAGCTCCACCGAAGGCCCCAGTGGGGGATGCCCGCATGCGGTTCCCACACCCAGGGCAGCGTTTGGCAGCCCCATAGGGAGCTCCACCGAAGGCCCCAGTGGGGGTGCCCGCACGCGTTTCCCCCACCCTGGGCAGCGCTTCGTAGCCCCATAGGGAGCTCCACCGAAGGCTCCAGTGGGGCTGCCCGCATGCGTCTCCCCTACCCCGGACAACGCTTCGTGGCCCCATAGGGAGCTCCACCGAAGACCTCAATCGGCTTGTTCGCATGCGTCTCCACCACCCAGGGCAGCGTTTCGTGGCCCCATAGGGAGATCCACCGAAGGGCCCAGTGACGGTGTCCACATGCGTCTCCCCCACCCAGAACAGCGTTTCGTGGCCCCATAAGGACCTCCACCGAAGGTCGCAGTAGAGGTGCCCACATGCGTCCCCCACCCAAGACAGCGTTGCGTGGCCTTATAGGGAGCTCCACCTAAGGCCCCAGTGGCGGTGTCCACATGCGTCTCCCCCACCCAGCACAGCGTTTCGTGGCCCCAATGGCCAAGTACGCGAATGATTCGTGGTCCCTGAGGTAGCGCCACCGAAAACGACACTTATATTTGCGGTACTCACAACTGCAAATGGTTGGGTCCTTCGCCAGGCTAATTTTTTGATTTGCCGTCCAACATCCGCCTGCAGGGGGACATGCCCGACCTGATGCTAGGGGTCGGTAAGTAAGACCGCGCTCCGTCCCTCGCGCTTCTCCCCGAGCGCGCTCCGCTCGACGGCAGCTCGACGGCCTCAAGGAGGGGCTCCTCGTGGCCGTGGCGGATCTTGGGCCGCTTTCACTGAAAGGCTGGTTTCTCCAAGGGAGGCTTGTCCGCCGAATCGATGTTTGGGCCCGAGACCTTGACAGACTCGCGTCGTGACGGAAGCCACGGCGGGAGGCTGTTGGTGCTTCTCGGCCCATGGGGGCACTCTCCCAGGGCCGTCAGAAGACGGCTCGGGACGGCTCGGGATGGAAAGCCGGTCACGGAGAAAGGGTCTGCATGAGCAGGCCTTCGCTTCAGGAGCGGGGGGGGGGGGCAGTGAGCGGATGGAAGCGACGGGTGAACGGCTCGGGTCCAAGTGTCTCAGGCGGTGCGGACCCTGCGACCAGAGGAGGATCCCGCTCTGCCAATCCCATCCTGCCCAGCCTCCTGCATGCCGAATGCCCCCACCCACTCCAAGCGTCCTGGACGGCCGGCGGAGGTTGGCAAGTGATCTCGTGCTGCAGGCGTGTGGAAAGTCTGGCCCTCGCGGAGGCGATGGGTCCGCTGGAGAAATGCCGCTCCGAGAATTTGGACGCCCGACATGGGCACGGAAAGAATGGGTACAATGCCCAACAGCAATTCCTGTTCATTTTGAACAGGATCGCTGTCCACGCCGCCGCGGCCTGTGTTCATTTGAGACAGAAGGCCGCCTGCCCAACAGCGGCCGCTGTTGGTTCGCGACGACATTTGTTGCTGGGCATTGTGCCCATTCTTTCCGTACCCATTTCGGGCGTCCAAAGAGAGCAGGCGCGGCGAGCCCGGGAGAGGCGGGCGGGGGCTGCCTGCCAGGCACGGTCCGCCGAGGCTGGCGGGGCGAGGCCAGGTTCGGACCAGGTGGAGTTTGCAGGAGGAGGAGGAGGAGGAGGAGGAGGAGGAGGAGGAGGAGGAGGAGGAGGAATCATAATCAGATCAGATCAGATCAGAGCAGATGCCCATGGGGGCACACGTTCACTCGTTTGCCAACATAGGCTGCCATAGAACCGACTGACGGCCGCGAAGGTCGGACCGCCAGTCTGCCCTACGCTTGCAGGGCTTCAGAATCTTAAGCAACGCTCACACCAAACAAAAACATCATCGGAAAACAGGGCGGGGAGGAGGGGGAAGAGAAGGGGAGGAGGGGGCGAAGAGGAGGAGGAGGAGGAGGCGGAGGCAGAGGTGGAGGCGGAGGGGAGGCGGCAGGCGGAGAGGACGGCGGAGGACGGAGCGGGGTCGGAGGCGGCGGAGGCGGAGGCGGAGGCGGCGGAGGAGCATGCGAACAGATCGTCCGAGGAGGACGCGGGTGGCCACCGCTGGGATGGTGCAAGCCTCGCCCCCTTACGATCCTCCTCCTCCCCCCCTCCCTCCCCTCCCTCTCTCCCTCCCTCCCTCCCTCCCCTCCTTGCATCCCCCTCCTTCCATCCCCTTTTCCCGCTTCTCCTCCCCCTCTTCCCTCTTCCTCACCCTTCCCTCCGACGCCGACGACAACCTGATCGCCTCCAGAGGCCTCCAGAGGCCTCCAGAGGCCGATGCTGGTTCCCTGATCCCCACACCTTGACCCTCGGCTCCAGAACCCCGAGCCCTGATCTCCGATCCCTCGCTTGCCCATCGCCCTGCCAGTGCCCCCCCGAGGAGTGCCTCGAGCTGCTGGATCCCCGACCCTCGCTCCTGGACCCTCGGCCCATGCCCCATGCCGGCCGCGCCTCCATCTTCGAGCCTCGATCCTCGGCCCCCGAGCCCCGATCTCTTGCCCGCCCGGCGCGCCCTGCCTGCGCCCCCCCCCCCCCCCCCAGGACTGCCGCGCGCTGCGCGCGGGGCTGGAGGCGCAGCTGGCGGCCGCGGAGGCGCGGGCCGACGGCGTCGCCCAGGACCCCCTCGCGCGGGGCGGCTCGGAGGGCGGCCCTCGGGCGGCGGCCGGGCGCCCTCCGCGCATTGGGAGAGGCAGGCAGCGTTGCCGTTGCCAGGGACGGGGCCCCGAGGGACGAGGGCTTCAGGATAGGATCGGGCTGGACGACCGGGGGGGGGGGGATAGGGAAAGGGGGGGGGTGCGAAGTCTGCTGCGTGCAGCTGGTTTCGGCCCCACCGAGGGGCCCATTCCTAGATACACAGCCGCCTCCGGCGCTGGGAGGCGCCGGGAAAATCAGCTACGTGAGCTGATTCTCAAACCCCCCCTTTGCTATCCCCCCCTTTCGCCCGGCCCGAGAGGAAGGGACTTCCGAGGGTGCACTGGCGCTGTGTGAGGCACCTCGCCCTGAGGAGCCCATCCAGTCACGGCCCCCTCTCGGAGCCGCCGGCCCCTGCCCCCGTCTCCGCCTCCCAGGGCCTCCTGGGCGGCCCTCGTCGGCGCCGCCGGGCCCGCCTCGGAGTGCTGGTCGCAGCGCCCCCGCGGGAGAGCTCGGGGGAACAGCGGCGTCGGTGTCTCTTGGCTTCCTCCTCGGCGGGGCTCTCGGCGGGGCCCGGCGGAGGCCTGTCACGGCGGCCTCGTCGACGGCGCCGCCGTCTGCGAGGGGCGAGGGAGGGGGAGGGGGACGAGGAGGCGGACGAGGAAGAGGCGCTTTCTCCTCGACCTCCTCCTCCTCCTCCTCTCCTCCCCCTCCTCCTCCTCCTCCTCCTCCTCCTCCTCCTTCCCTCCCCTCTCCCTCCTCCTCCTCCTTCTCTCTCCTCCTCCTCTCTCTCCTCCTCCTCCTCCTCCTCCTCCCCTCTCGCTCCTCCTCCTCCTCCCTCTCCTCCCTCCATACTCCTCCTCCTCCTCCTCCTCCTCCTCCTTCTCCTCCTCCTCCTTGGCTTCCCCTCTCCCTTCAAAATCCCCAACTCCCTCCACCTGGGGGGGGCCCGGGCTGCCTCCGCCTTCTCGCCTTCTCGGTGTTCCTCGCGGAGGCGACGAGAAGGGAAAATGGCCATGGGCGGGTATTGTACGCATTCGCCCGGGAGCCTCGCCGAAGGCATGGACCAGTTGGCGCTCTTGGATACCTGAATTATGTTCGCAGCGTCGACCCCCAGAGGTCCCAGAGCCGGTAGCCATTTTGGTTCAAGCATCTGAACCACTGCACCGTGCTTGCGATCAGATATACTCGGTCGCTTTGATAGCCCAGGCCAAAACTTATTCCCAACTATCATGTGGTGTTGGGTCCTCGTTTTGAAGAGACAGCGCCCCGCGTCTCCTTTTTCCTCCTCCCTCCTCCCCCTCCTCCCTCCTCTCCTCCTCCCCCTCCTCCCTTCTCCCCCTCCTTGCCTTTGCTCTCGGCACACCTCTCACACGTTTCGTAGCCCCATAGGGAGCTTCACCGAAGGCCCCAGTGGTTGCTCTCGCATGCGGTTCCCCCACCCTGGGCAGCGCTTCGTGGCCCCATAGGAAGCTCCACCGAAGGCCCCAGTGGTTGCTCTCGCATGCGTTTCCCCAACCCTGGGCAGCGTTCCGTGGCCCCATCCACCGAAGGCCCCAGGGCAGCGTTTCCACCGATAGAGCCCCAGTGGTTGCTCTCGCATGCGTTTCCCCCACCCTGGGCAGCGTTTCGTGGCCCCATAGGGAGCTCCACCGAAGGCCCCAGTGGTTGCTCTCGCATGCGTTTCCCCCACCCTGGGCAACGTTTCGTGGCCCCATAGGGAGCTCCACCGAAGGCCCCAGTGGCTGCTCTCGCATGCGTTTCCCCCACCCAGGGCAGCGCTTCGTGGCCCCATAGGGAGCTCCACCGAAGGCCCCCGTGGTTGCTCTCGCATGCGTTTCCCCCACCCTGGGCAGCGCTTCGTGGCCCCATAGGGAGCTCCACCGAAGGCCCCAGTGGTTGCTCTCGCATGCGTTTCCCACCCTGGGCAGCACCGAATATGGAGCTCCACCGAAGGCCCCAGTGGTTGCTCTCGCATGCCTTTCCCCGCCCTGGGCAACGTTTCGTGGCCCCATAGGGAGCTCCACCGAAGGCCCCAGTGGCTGCTCTCGCATGCGTTTCCATCCACCCCGGGCAGCGCTCCGTGGCCCCATGGGGAGCTCCACCGAAGGCCCCAGTGGCTGCTCTCGCATGCGTTTCCCCAGCCCTGGGCAGCGCTTCGTGGCCCCATAGGAAGCTCCACCGAAGGCCCCAGTGGCTGCCCTCGCATGCGTTTCCCCCACCCTGGGCAGCGCTTCGTGGCCCCATAGGGAGCTCCACCGAGGGCCCCAGCGGTTGCTCTCGCATGCGTTTCCCCACCCTGGGCAGCGCTTCGTGGCCCCATAGGGAGCTCCCCCGAAGGCCCCAGTGGCTGCTCTCGCATGCGTTTCCCCCATCCTGGGCAGCGTTTCGTGGCCCCATAGGGAGCTCCACCGAGGGCCCCAGCGGTTGCTCTCGCATGCGTTTCCCCCACCTTGGGCAGCGCTTCGTGGCCCCATAGGGAGCTCCACCGAAGGCTACAGTGGCTGCTCTCGCATGCGTTTCCCCAACCCTGGGCAGCGTTTCGTGGCCCCATAGGAGCTCCACCGAAGGCCCCAGTGGTTGCTCTCGCATGCGTTTCCCCCACCCTGGGCAACGTTTCGTGGCCCCATAAGGGGCTCCACCGACTCCCAATTCTTGTTCACACCGGGGGTTCTCGCCCAATTCTTGTTCACACCGGGGGTTGTCGTCCAGTTTTTGTTCACACCGGGGGTTCTCGCCCAATTTGTTCCACACCGGGGGTTCTCGCTCAAATTTGTCGGGCCCTGGGACCATCACAGATCGATCCGTGTCGAAGCGGGGTCTGGGGTTTCCAGTCGTGATTTTCCACGATGGCGTACTCTTTCTGGCAAGGTCGTATCTCAGGGTCGTCTTTCGCGCTCTCGCTCCTCGGTATGCCTTCGTTCTCTCGGGCGGGGCTGGGGCAATAATAAATCCGTTGCAGAACGTTCCTGGAACGCTCTCAGGGCGTCCCAGAACGCTCTGAGAAGGCCGCGGCGCCCGACACGATTCCCAGAAACGCCGGATCTTACAGATTCCCAATGGTTTTCTTCGTCCGATGTTTCAAGCAGTGGCGAAGCGTCCTGGCGTGTCTCAGGCCTACCACGCAATGTTCTAAGAACCCTTTGTGGTCTGCGCGACATGTTCTGAAACTGTGTTTGGTTGAGCTTGTCTTGTTTTAGCACCTCGGGCTTCTGTTCT